CCCATGTGCAGATGACTATTGTCCGCATGCCAAACATGACCACTTTTCTGGAGGACTTGCAACGCTCGCTGAAATACTATGGTAAGCTATACCAAATCAAGAAGTACACTGTTGATGGCTTCTTTGAGGGTCATGTCAGCTTCCTGATCGACACTTCGGTCAAGTACACTGACGCGGAAGGTCACTCCTACGACGTACAGCCTTTGAGTCGCATGCTTTACCTTTCCGCCTGGGATGTCTATGTGCCAGCGACATACAGAGGAGCACCACCAGTTTGCCATTTCTGCCGTCAGAGTGGACACATTCGCGCTGCTTGTCCTATCCTAGCTAAACGCAAATGTTTCAAATGTCACAAGTTGGGACACACTGTTAAGTTCTGTCGAGAGGAAGAGAAGCCTTTTGACGAAGCAATCGCTGAATATGAGTCGAGCCAAAGGGATCACACTGATTCCTACTCAGTCACTCCAATTGATAAAGTTAACGAAAAAGAGAAGGGCCACAGAGCATCCCCCGCGATCAATGATATTCTCGCGCAGCAACTGCCATCTCAGCCCACCACCACAGACAAGCTAGCCGGCAAAACGACCGAGCTCACAAGTAGCCAGATCAGTACCTTGTTTTCCGCAAATGACAGCCAAACCTGGGACCAGTCTCCGGATGTGATGGAGGTCGATCCCCAGACCCTCCAGCGTTCTCCCAACGGTAGCGATGCTTCTAAGCATGCTCCGTTAGCTTCGTCCTTCCATATGCATTTGGATCCCAAGTTATCTGCTGACAATGTCTCCTCTCCCAATGATTTCCAGACTGATGTGCCCTCTCTCCGCCGTCATTCTATGAGCTCGACGTCTATGTCGCAGCCTCAAGTGTATCATGTCGCCCATAGGGCATAATGATACAACAATCATTGCGCATAGGTACCCTTAATGCCCGGAGCATCTTTAAGGGTTCCTCAAAATCTATACAGAAGGAATTCACTTCCTTTCTGCGCTCCAAAACCCTCCAGCTAGATATTCTCTGTCTGCAGGAGGTCTCTCATTACCGTCAGCAGGCCCACCTCACTGATGATAATGTGCGTGCTTTCTCTTTTATGTTTCCTCGGTCTTCCTTTGTCGTCTCGAAGCATTGTGCAATAGTGTGTCTGAAGCAAGGCTTGGAGCTCGCGGATGCCACCATCTCTCGTGACGAACGCTGCATCACCGCCACTATTAAGGACGCTAATCACACCATATGCCAGATAGCTAATGTGTACATGCCCGTGCACAGAGCCCATCGCTATGCTTTCCTGGAGGAGCTGATGACCATGCCCTTCTGGTCTGATATGCTTGACTCCCAGTGGATCTTGCTTGGGGATTTCAATATCCATTTACATGATGCGGTCGAAGCTCGTCTCCCTAGAGTCCAACCTTTTGTTGAATGGCTGAACACTCATTTTTTCAACTGTTTTCCAAAAGGCACAATGACTCTCCCTAAAGCTGGCACCACCATTGACTATGTCTTTGCTCCTCCTCCTATGGCGACTCGTATCATCAACACTCAGACTCACCACATTCCACCTGAGTGGACCGATCACAGCCTCCTCACAATCGATCTGGTCACCTCTGGCGTCAAGTTGGGTCCTGGCAGCTGGCGTTTGAATCCGTACTTGCTTGAGAACCGTGAATTTCAAGCCCTTTTGGATAAAACCGTGGATATGTTTTTGGCGTCTGACTATTATACGACAGATGTGGCTGATATGGGTGTCTCTGGTCAGGAGAAGTGGGAATCTCTCAAGTCGATCATCAAGTACTGTGCCAAACAGTTCACCAAAGGCCAGAAGGCTCGCTTCAAAGCTCGAGTCTCCCACCTCCAACGTGAACGGGAACAGCTACTTGGGACCCCGGAGGAGTCGGCAAGGATCAAAAGACTGGAGCAACTGATTGAGCAACGGATTCAAGATGACACTCGTCAAGCTATGCTGCGTTCGGCTACTCGTTGGCTGGAAATGGGAGAGCAAAACAACAAATACTTTTTCAATGTGATCAAGGATCGTGAGGCGCAACAAACCATCCAGTCCCTGAAAAAGGCTGGCACTGGAGAGAAGCTGACAGACATGGGCGACATTCTCCAAGAAGCTCGTACTTTCTATCAGGATCTCTACACACCTGAAGACATTGATTTGGCTGCCGTCAACTCTCTCTTTGACAATATCCCTGCTGATGCGAAGCTACAAGAAGCTGAGGCAGACCGGCTGATTGAACCACCCTCTACAGACTCTGTCTTGCTGTTACTGGACCATGCACCCAAGAACAAGTCTCCTGGTTTGGATGGCCTTCCGTTTGAGGTGTATCGCTATTTGGCGGCGAAGTTCCCTGCTGTTCTGCTTCTCTTGCAGCAAGTGCTGACTGATGCGCTGCGTGGTGTCTTCCCTGACTCTTGGAAAGAAACGAGGATGGTACTGCTGTTCAAGAAGGGCGATCCAGAGCTCCTCAAGAACTGGCGACCTCTCTCGATGATCAATAGCGATGCTAAGCTGTTCACCAAGATGTTAGCCAACCGGTTCAAACGTGTCCTCTCCCGATTGATTACGCCGTACCAAACAGGCTTTATGCCTCACCGGCTCATCTCGGACAATGCGTGGTTGAACCAGACGCTGATGACCAACCTCCGTGATGCAGCTCCTCAGGATCCCAATGTCGCCGTACTCTTGGATCAAGAGAAAGCCTATGATCGGGTCAATCCGACATATCTGGCGATGGTTCTTCGTCAGTTTGGCTTCCCGGCATCGTTGGTATCCAGTGTGTCAAGTCTGTTCTTTGGTACTCGTATCTCCTTGTCAATCAATGGGTGGTTGGGCGCCCCCATCGATCAACAACGTGGTTTACGACAGGGTGATCCGTTGTCCCCTTTGCTGTTCAACCTGGCTTTCGAGCCGTTCCTTAGAACCATCTTGGCCTGCCCTTCTCTTCAAGGCGTCTCAATGTCTACCGCTGTCCGTGCTCCTCTCGCAGGGCGTATCTCTCGTGCCTCCTCTCTCGTGCCGGTCCAAGGCGACCATGATCTCCTACGCGCTCCGGCGACCCCTCCACGGGTGAAGCTGTTGAGCTATGCCGATGATCTGGAAGTCTTCCTGACTTCTACGGCGGAATGGCCTGTGCTGCTGTCTCTTTTGTCGCTCTATGGCAAAGCGTCCAACGCCAAGGTCAATTTGGAGAAAACCGTGCTGTTGTCGCTGTCAGGCGAGGCTCATGCTGATTGGAAGCGAGTGACGGAAACGTCTAACATTGAGTGGTACGACAGCTCGTCAGTTGGCTCTGTGAGGTATCTAGGTTACCCTCTGTATCATACAGAGGAGCAGTTGCAGCATTTCCTGAATTCCATTACCGTGAAGATTCAACGTCATTGCAATCTGCTCACCAAGCGGCAGCTATCCATTCGTGGAAAGGGTTTAGTGGCGAATTCCCTTCTGCTGTCTCGCTTGTGGCATCTCCTGCGTGTGGTTGTGGTTCCTGACAAGTGGCTGGAGGAGATACAGCGCGTGGTACGCCAGTACATCGTCTCGTTTTGGCCTACTGTGGCTTGGGATTCTCTCTGCCTTCCTAGGAAGCATGGAGGTATTGGTCTGGTTGACATCAAGAAGCAACATCTCGCCTTGCATCTCATATATGTCAAGCGTCTGCTTCGTCCCAGATCCCCAGCGGATTTCCTCACTCCCTGGCTGATGTATACATTCCATGTATACTCAGGTCATGCTACTGTGCTGCCTTTGCTGCTATACCCACGTACCTGCTGGCCGCGTGTGCGGAAATGCCCTCACTTGGAGCATCTGGCTCGTCTACTCACTCGTTTGCCTCCCTTGACTCTCACTCCTGAGTGGCCGTCTTGGTGGCTCCTAGATCTGCCCTGGTTACAAGTATGCTCCCTGTCTCCCACAGCGACTTTGCCTTTGACTAGGAACAGTGACAAACTGCCACCTCATGCCTTGATTGCCAGCCTCTTGAGCGTGCTCCCCAACTCCCACATCTTGGTTTGCGTGCGTCCCCGTGATACTGCTGCATTGCAACATCTGTTCAATGCCTTGTGCCCCATCGAGGGTCCTCCTGTTTGGGTTGTCCCTGCTCCTCTCAGGTCCGTCATGGCCTTCACCGCTCCAGAGCGAACCGCACTGCTGGAGAGTTCCACTACCCCCTCTCCACCCACGGCTAGCTTTTCGCATTGGTTCATCACCACTGGCCCTCGCTCAAAAGCTACAGTGGACAAGATCACTCTCGGGGCGTTACGCCGTTCCTGGCATCCGTCATTTGACATGTTGCGTCGCCCAGCCCATCCTCCTGGCTATCGCCCACCACATCTCCTGCTTCCTCCTCACCTCTGGCGTGATTTCTGGTCTCTCTGTCTCCCGCCCAAGGCATTTACACCGTGGTGGCGTTTGCTGCATGGACATCTCTCGGTGCAGGTTCGCCTGCACTCCATGAACCGTGTGAAGTATCCTTCCCCACTGTGTAAGATGTGTCATGAAGCAACTGAAGATGAATACCATATGGTCATTGGCTGCAGTATGAAGTCCCTCTTCTGGTATGAGTTTGTCTCTCACCTTGGTCTTGCTGATCTGTTCCCTACGGACGAGGCCATCTGGATTGGGTTGACCACCCTTCACGGCCAGGACAACAATCCTCTGGACATTTCCATTTTGGAACTTCTCGGCGCTGCCTTCTCATCTATCTGGCAACATCATTGGGGCTGCACAATTGATGGTAAATCTTGGATCACTCGGGCTGTTTTCTCCTCTTTTCTGGAAGATCATTCCAAGTTAATTTCTTCTTTCTTAGACATGTAAGACCCTTATGGCACCTTACTGTCTATAATATAAATAAAAAACACATTTAAATACAAAAAAAAAAATTTTGATTCAATATAGGAAAGGCTCTTTCGCGTAACCATCACTACCCCTAAGGTGAAAATTACGCCACTGCTTAAATCACATCAAACACATTCCTACTACTACCGTCCCACTACCACCACTCATGGCTACCACCACAGACCTTTCTTGGGTCCAGGTTCTCTCTCGAGGCCACTCCAAGAAGGTCATCAATGCTCAACCACAACGAGCCAAAGATGACAAATTCAAACTGGTCCCTGAAGTTCTCTACGAACATGACGATTTGAAAGCCGAGGTTCTTACTCGCAAGGCGGCCGCCATCCTCCAACAGGCCTTGACACCTGGATCTGTTTTGTTTGCGTTCCCAAACAAAACATTTGATCATCGTACTGCAGCCTATCGCCTTATCAAGGAGCAAATATCCCCCCTGATCCAATTTCGCCCTTTGAGTCTGTACCACCAGAAGGCAAATGGAGATCTCTTATTGGAAGCAAAGTTTAATCGCCTCGAGGATGCCAAGCTAGCCATCAGGCAGGGCATCACTTATCAGGACATTGTATTCAAGGCTACTGCCGCCAAGGACAACAGTGAAGGGAGACTCACTCATGTCCAGATGACTATCGTCCGTATGCCCAATATGGAGACGTTCGTGGAGGATTTGTAAAGTTCGCTCAAGTATTATGGTAAGGTGTACCAGATCAAAAAATACACCATCGATGGTCTCTTTGAGGGTCATATTAGCTTTTTGATCGACACTGCTGTCAACTACAGGAATGCAGAGGGCAAGGAATATGACATTCAACCATTAAGCAGAATGATGTATCTGTCAGCTTGGGACGTCTATGTGCCTGCCACCTACCGCGGTGCACCACCCGTGTGCCATTTCTGTCGCCAGAGTGGCCACATCCGTGATGCCTGCCCTGTCCTGGCCAAACGCCAATGCTTCAAGTGTCGTAAGCTGGGTCACACCGCCAGGTTCTGTCGCGAGGAGGAAACCACGTTTGAGGATGCCCTCGAGGAGTACGGGTCGAGTAAGAAGGCCAATGAGGAGAACAATACTGCCGAAACTCAACGCCGTCCCAATGATGGAGAACGCGAGAAGCGCCGTGGAGCCACCCACACCATCCATGATCATGTAGCGCAACAACTGCAACGCCAAACCACAGCCAGGCAGTCAACCGCTTCTCATGGCAGCCAGATCAGTAATGCCGAGTCGTCCGCAATGGAAATCGATCCCAAGACCCTGCAACGCACTCCTCATGGTAGCGATGCTTCCAAGCATGCTCCACTAGCTTCGTCTTTGTACATGCATGTGGATTCTCAGGCAAGTGTCGCCAGCGTTTCCTCTCTCAATGGTTTCCAGTCTGATGTGCTCCCTCTCCGCCGTCATTCTATGAGCTCGACGTCCATGTCGCAGACTCCAGTGCATCATGCCGCCGATAGGGCTTAATGATACAAAAATCATTGCGTATAGGTACCCTTAATGCCCGGAGCATCTTTAAGGGTTCCTCTAAATCAACACAGAGGAAATTTACTTCCTTCTTGCGCTCCAAAAACCTTCAGCTTGATATTCTATGTCTACAGGAGGTTTCGCATTATCGTCAACAAGAGCATCTCACTGATGATAATGTGTGTACTTTTTCCTATATGTTTCCTCGGTCTGCTTTTGTCATCTCCAAACACTGTGCCATCATCTGCCTAAAACCCGGCCTAGAGCTCACGGACACTGTCATCTCTCGCGACGAACGCTGCATCACTGCCTCTGTTATGGACGCTCACCAAGTCATTTGCCAAGTGGCTAATGTGTACATGCCAGCACAGGCAGCCAGTCGTCATGCTTTCCTGCCAGAGCTACTGTCCATGCCCTTTTGGTCTGATATGCTTGACTTCCAGTGTGCAGTAAAAAGGGGGTTAAAAAAGCAGGTAGAATACTGTTAAAATCCTTCTTTATTCGAAATTAGGATAATGTGCAATAAAATGTATATTCTACGTCTCTATTTACATTATTTGGTTTATATCTCTTATCTGGCAGCAGTTTAGTAGTTGCCAGTGATTCCATTACTTTATATATTTTTGTTGGGTCATTTAGTTGTTGATCTGATGGATCAAGAACGGCATTTCAATATATGGTTTTTGAATCATGCGTAAAGAATAGCTCTTTATTGTTGAGCCTGTATCCTTTTTAGGTATATTTATGTTACAACACATTACAATACCCTTGACATTTACTTTAGTATCTGTCATCTCTTATTTTAGAGCATTTAACCCTTGCTATCATCATGCTAATACTATTATTATGCATGCCTATCTGCTGATGGTAGCATGGTTTGATTGAGATGACATTTATTTTGGGTTTTGTTTATGATGGGAATCTAGTCTAGTTCACTTCACAGTGGATTTTGCTTGAGAATTTCATTATCCATTTGCATGATGCGGGTGAGGCTCGTGGCCGAAAGATCAAACCCTTTGTCGAATGGTTAAATACACATTTTCTTAACTGTTTCCCAAGAGGTACTATGACTCTCCCTTGTGCAAGTTCCACCATTGATTACATTTTTGCGCCTCCTCGTATGGCAACTCGTGTGCTCAATGCTCAGATTCATCACATCCCTCCGGCATGGACAGATCACTGTCTTCTAATTATTGATCTGGTCACCTCTGGCGTCAAGATGGGTCCTGGCAGCTGGCGTTCTAATCCATACTGGCTTGAGAACAGGGAATTCCAAACTCTTCTGGAAAAAACAGTTGTGTTGTGCCAGAAGGGCTACAACTGTCTATAAATATTAAGGTATCCTTGATGGGTAGATATGTCTGTGTTGTGCAACAGCATGGACAAGCTATGATAATTGAAGTGCATCTCAGCTATCTAAATACTGAGGTTCACCAGATGTGATAAACGTTGTACAAGATAAATTGCTACTTTGTCATTCAGAACTTATTATAAATACAGTGCGCGAAAAAAACGTTCGAGTGTTTTGCCAAATTGCACTTATAGCCAGCTTTCTCTGCAAATATCAAAGCTACTGGGGTTTGCCTAGTTTCATAAATAGCCTAAGTAGTTGGCTATCAGATGATATATTATGCACTTTATTCACGTAATTAGAAAAAGAATGGTAGCCTCATGAAAAGTGAACAGTCGAATTTATTAAATTTTATAAAAAAGCTCAATATTTAGTTGGACCACCTTTACTCTTGATAACCGCTTTGATTCGGCGTGGCATGCTGCCTATGTATTTAAGACAGTCTTCTTTTGTGAATTTATACCATTCCTGTTCAATTCTGTCTTCTAACTCAGAAAGGCCGGTGGCGCTAGTAGGGTACTTGTTCAAACGACGTTCTAGTTGATGCCAGACATGTTCAATGGGGTTTAGGTCAGGGCTTTGGGGGGGGGCCATTCAAGGACACTTTGAACAGAGAATCCGTAATGCGTGAACCATTTTTTAATGGGACCAGAAGTATGTGGTCTTGCGTTATCTTGCTGGAATCTAAACGTTTTCTTGCCCAGCCCATAGTACTCGATAGTGTCTAGCAAAGATGAGTCCAGAATTACAACATAAACTTCTGAGTTAACAGTTCCTTCGGTAATGGTGGAGCCATAGCTGGGTTCATCCGCTGTTATCATGCCCCAGAAAACAACGCCACCACCATCTGCCTGGACTTGAGCCTCAGTTTGATGAGGCATCAACTCAATGGGCCTGTCAGTCCAGTTGAAAGATTCGCCGTCAGATCCCCACATGTTGACCCTGTGGAATTTGAGGCTTTACAGACTAAAATTCACGGAAAAAAAAGAATAAAAAAACAGTGATGTCAACTTGATAAAGGTATATTTTATTATCAAACTGACAGGTGTAAAGTAAACTGAAGTCTCTCTACTGGCCAGGTAGATGATCCTTCTTATATACTATAACAATGGATAAAAGTTCTATTAATTAGATTGACAAATAAGTCAACTCAGATCAACTAATGTCTAATCATGCTAAAAGACAACTCCAGCAAGCTAATCATGATCTAGCTCTGTCTGGATGATGAATAATTAGACTCTCATCCGAAGTACCCTGATCTATCCTTTCCATAAGGATAATTAATATCGATCTAGTAGCATGTATCCGATAGGTACAGTCTTCTTAGTCTATATTAATAGTACATATCTGAGTGTATATCGCTAAGCATACATCTTTAGCATGTATCTGGATATATGGCATGTCTATAGCATATCATATGCATGTCTATAGCATGTCTCATATATAATACAAGTCTGTAGTACATAAAGTATCTGTAGCTAGTATCACGGATATAAGCATGTGTCTTATAGCGTGGATCATGAAGTGCACATCTGAAGCAACAAGCTCATATTGCATTAATCTTGGTGCCTATCCAGATATGGTAAACATCCGTAGTCAATGTCGGAATACAAGTATAAGTCTATAGTGCCATCCATGTCCGTGGTGCCATCTATAGCCTATATCTTATATAGTATGAATCTTATAGTACTAGCGTATCTGAAGTCCATATCTTCTCATGATCATAGTATAAATCGATATCGTACATCTAATCCAGTGTACATACAGTTTATATCTAAATCTGGTAACTGGATGAACTGTCGGAATGCAGATCATAGTGGATGTATTCCACATTTGCCCCCACCAGTTTCAACGCATGTTGACTAATTCAAAGAATTATGTAAACGATCAATGATCTGTATTTCGCATTCGCTGACAAAGATATAACGCAATGTGATAGTCTAAAGGTGCTACTGCAATTTGCATGTTGCCCTGATATATCCCATGACAAACATCACTTTACTGTTCTGCAACGTTGAGTCTCTTAGAGCCTCTCAAACGCTTGTCAGAATCATCACGCTTACGCTTTGATTTGGAGGAAGCAGTGTCACTATTTAGTGCCTGTCTTCTCTTCTCAAGCAGCTCATATTCCTTGATCTTTGCCCAGTACTTACGAATGGTTTGAGGGTTGTTGAACGATGCAGCAGTTTCCCAGGAGTTGGCAGCTTCTCCAAATGTCTTCCATTTTACCAAATACTCTCTATTGTGTTCAGGACCACGATGCGCTCTGATCTCGTCAACCTCATATACTTCTTGTTCGATGATAGACTCGTCGATTGCTACCAGCTTCAATTCAGATGGCACATAGTCGCGATGTAGTAGTTCATTCATATCGTCTTTCAACACATATGTAGATCTTTTCTTTTGAACAACTTGATAAGGTCCATCATAAGCGGCCTCAAGTTTGCTTTCTCTATGCGGAAGTCTTACCATAACCCAATCACCAACTTTGAAGTGTGTAATCTTGTGATGCTTATTGAATCGCGTTGCTTGCTCTTCAATAATGCGTTGTGTTCTTTGGTTAATAGCTGGAAAGACAACCTGGTTCATAATCTCTGCCTTCTTGCGTAGCTCACCGAGAGTCATAGGCTTCTTTGGTAAGTTGTCCTTGATCTTAGGATCATCGTAGTCTACGAATCTATTCAATGGTCTAGCAAACATCAATTGAAAAGGTGCACTCTCAGTGCGATACCTAATTTTTGTGTTTATAGCCAGTTGAGTTCCAGGTAGAACCGAGTCCCAGTCATAGATGTGTTCACTGACCATCTTACGAAGTGCATTAAGAATATTTTTAACACCTGATTCGGATGCACCATTGCCCCTAGCGTGGAAAGCCGTAGAGTATCTTTGATTGATGCCAAGTGCTTTACCGATCTCGCTCATCAAAGCACTCTTGAATTCACGTCCATTATCAGATTGTAGTATTTGTACTACGCCAAAGTCTCCAAAGATGGTAGTCAGAGCTCTAGCGACAGTATCGGTTTGTTTGTTGGGCAATGCACGAGTTATAATAAATCTGGTGCAAATGTCGTATACAACTAATATATATATATTGCCATTGTTGGTTGGAGTTAACGGACCAAGAAAGTCAATGCCTATGTGATCAAATGGACCATACGCTACAACGTTTCTCAGTTCATGGTAACCCTTTTGAACTACATTGTGTCTTGCACATTCCATACATGATTGACAAATTGCCTTTGCATCATCATATAGACCTGTCCAATGAATACCTTCTTCATGTAGTTTCTTGACAATACTAGCGGCACCAAAGTGTCCAAATTCATGAGTTTCACGAAGCAGTTGGTCTCTCTCATTGTCAGGTGGTGCAATGTAAGCAACGCTTTCATAATTGCCCTCCTTGATCTTCATAGCAAGTACATTCAAGTGCTTGTCTTTGTTATAGACTACTTTGTTCTTGGTTGGATAATGCTTTGTTTGCTTATTGTTGTCAATGAATCGTTTCTTGGAGCCTTTGCTTCTCATGATATTCTTTTGTAATTTAGCAATTTTCTTATCACTGTCTCCCGCCAGCTCTGTATGATCTTCTAAAGGTTCATACAAGCGACTAAGTTTGTCAGGTAAGATGTTGTCTAAGCCCTTGATATGAGTGAATTGCAGTTGGGGATACTCGTTTAAAATCTCCATGTAATTTTGAATGACTCTAGTAGGACATTTACATGTGTAGATATAAATCAGAGCTCGATGATCTGTCATAACCTCAATCTCAGGATGCCCGTACAATAAGGGTCGCAAACGAACTAAACCGAATAACACGGCATACAGTTCTCGTCTCAGGACAGGCCAGTTCTGTTGGGATTTGGTCAGAGATTTGCTCAACATCGCCACATAGACTGTGCGTCCTTGATCGTCGCGCTGCGTCAAAATGACTGCAACTGCATATAAGCTAGCATCACATTCAAGATAAAATTTCTTATTCATGTCTGGTGCAGTCAGTAAAGCTTCAGATAACAAGACCTTCTTGATAATCTCAAGTCGTTTGGTGTGCTCCTCAGTCCATTTGCTACCAGCATCTGGATCATTTCGTAGAGCATCAATAGGCGCCATCAGTTTTGACAGATTTGGGATGTGTGGTCT